TGTGAACGCTCCCATTTCCTTTATACTTTGGAAATATGTTACCCTAGTTGGTACTAGTTAATACACAAATTTATAGGTTCCAATCCGAAAAAATTTGCCAAAGATATAGTGTAATAAGTGAAATTGGTCCGTTCGCTCGCGCATTCCAGCGCGATGCACATTGGGTTTTTTTTTACAATTTCCAATTCAAAATTGTCTAGAACCTACAAATTTTATCGGATGTTAATGTTCTTGGTCTAATATTACAAAGAGATCCATCAAGTCGATTTTTGAATTTTGAATTGTTTTTTTCCTGTTACTCAAGAAGTTAACAAATACAATATTTTTAGAAAAAATCATGTTTAGTTTTTTATTTTTCCATTGCACATGATCAAAATCAATTTAAATTAGTCTAGTATGACCACCGGACAAATAATAATGCATAATGAAATTTATTTAAATTGTTGTAAACAATGTTGATTAACAAATAAATTAATTTAGACCTTCTTCATAAAAAAATTGTTTTTTTTGCAGACAGGTTTCAATTTATGTCTGTTTTAGTAAAAATTATTTTAAAGTTAAAAATTATCATTGTTATTAACAATTATATAGACAATAATCAAGTTCCTTTTGTATTTCTAAACATTTTCGGCATTTTTTAAACTTTAAATATTTATATCATATGTACATTCTTTCGAAAACTTAACAAATTTATTATCATACACAGTTACATTTGTTATAAACAAATTATTTACTTTTTAAACAAATAAATGGCTTACTTCAAATAAAATTTTTTTCTTTTTTTATATTTACTATCACAAAAAAGAACTCCTTAATGAAATGGGAATACATTAAATAATTCATATAATTTTAATAAACATTATAAGTTAACAAATATTTATATATTTAATGAAGTAAACCATTTGTCTGGTGGTCATACTAGACTAATTTAAATTGATTTTGATCATGTGCAATGGAAAAATAAAATACTAAACATGATTTTTTCTAAAAATATTGTAATTTGATAACTTTTTGTGTAACAGGAAAAAAATAAACAATTAAAAGTTCAAAAATCAACTTGATAAATCTCTTTGTGATTTTATACCAACAACATTAACATCCGATAAAAGTTTTAGGTTCTAGACAATTTTCAATAGTAATAATTGTAAACGAATCCCACTGTGCATCGCGCTGGAATGCGCGAGCGAATGGACAAATTTTACTTATTAAACTATATCTTTTGTAAATTTTTTCGGCTCATTTTCAGACTTATATCTTCTTTTAGGGGAAATTCCAAGATTTTATTTGAGATTATTAAAAAGAAAAAAAACTGTCAAACTTGCAAAAAATTGCAAAAAACTATTTATTTTTAAAAATTTTTGCATACATTTTTTTTTTATTAAATCAATAAAATATTTTAAAGGTACACAAAAAAACTTTTCGAAACCACTATTTACTTTTTTTAATCGAATAATTTAAGTAGAAACTACAAATGTTTAAAAAAAGCATGTTCGAGTTTAAGCTGAAATTTCAACCCCCACCTTCTTGACAGGGGTGAGGGGTTGGACCTGTAAATTTGAGTATTATCTAGTACCTACTAGGGTAACATATTTCCAAGGTATAAAGGAAATCCAAGAACTTTTTCTTATTTTTGGGGCAGTTCAGGCATTCCTCATTAATAACATAGGCCTGCAAATTTTGGCTTACTTCTGTTACAGAAAAAGTGGTAGGTGATTCTTATAGCTTTTTTGACGTAGAATACGAATCCAATTTCCAAAATGGCCCATCACGTCAGGATTTCTTGTAATATTGCCTTAAGTAGCCAAAAAATGGTTATTTTGGCCATTTTTCGGAATTTTTTTTTTGTTAAACAAAAATTTTTTTTCAATTTGCGAAATTGCATCGTATAGTACTATGTCTAAGCTTTAAACCCCATTTTTCCGTTCTGGTACAAAAGGTCCAATCCAAAAGATCCAAAAAATTAAAAATCCAAAAAGACAAAAAGTCCAAACAAAAAAATATATTTTCTATTGTTTTTATTTCTTTTTTTTTAATTTAAAAATTCAAAAAGATAAAAAGTGCAAAAAAATATATGTTCTATTGTTTTTATTGCTTCCTCATAAAACCCATTTTTCAAAATTGCTTTACGATTTTTTTAAAAAAAGTTATGTAGATTTGAAATCTTTTTATTTATACAAATGTAGGTATAGAAAAGTTCAAAATGGCATTTAATTTCAAATCTACATAACTTTTTTAAAAAAAAAACGTAAAGCAATTTTAAAAAATGGGTTTTAAAGCTTAGATATATTACTATACGATGCAATTTCGCAAATTGAAAAAAAAATTTTGGTTATCCAAAAAAAATTCCGAAAAGTGGCCAAAATAGCCATTGTTTGGCAATTTAAGTCAATATTACAAGAAATCCTGACGTGATGGGCCATTTTGGAAATCGGATTCGCATATTCTACGTCAAAAAAGCTATAAGAATCACCTACCACTTTTTCTGTAACAGAACTAAGCTAAAATTTGCAGGCCTGTGTAATAAGTTCTAAAATATAACAAGTAAACATAATTAATAAGAATTAATGTTTGAAACAGCTTAAAATTAAAATAATAAAAAACAATGTAAAAATGTATTAACTGTGAGAAAAGCTATTAATCTCTACGAATCAATTAATAATATAAAGTGTATATAATTAATGTAGGGGAAAGGCTTGCAGGTTGCCACACCTAAGCTTTTTTGCTCATAACTCAATAAGAAAAATTAATTTATATGAACATACCATCGGAAGGAGGAGCTAAAAAGCTACAAATTCGACACATAGATAATAATTTAAATTGTCAAAAAATAAAATTTTTACATCAAATTTTAAAAATATTGTAAAATCAACGGTTTGAAATTCGGGCTTGTAGGTTGACCCACCTTAAAAAATTGATAATAATATGGAACAACCTTATTCAATTCATTAAATTTCACTAACCTTTAATGTTTCTTTTTGCTCTAAAAGATCATAAAAAGTATTAACTAATCATTTGACAACAAAATCAGTCGCGTTTTTAATTATGGCACTTCTACAATAAAAAATAAGGCAAAAGGGACAACCTGCAAGCCGGACAACTTGCAAGCCTTTCCCTTAGGTACTTATATAATAAAGGTAATGTAAAATTAATGTAAAATACAGTAAAATGAATACAAAATTAATGTATAAATACTATAATGTAAAATTGAGTTTAATTTAAAATAGTATATTAGGCAACAAGGGTATAAAGGCAGCCATTTGTTTACGGTGATTTTTGTGACACGAGTGGAGGTCGAGGGCGCCGTAGGCGCCCCGAGACCGGAACAAGTGTCACAAAAATCATCGTAAACAAATAGGCTGCCTTTATTCTCGTGTTACTTACGATATTTTTTATTCCTAATGCACAAAAGTGGCGATTTCAGATAGCAGACGACAGGGAGAAAAAGTCATTCACTTGTTCGACTTAAATGAAAATGGCGGCCTATTTTCTCCCTTGGGCAAAAATAACGCATGGGATCAGCGGTTATGTTTGCACAAGGGAGAAAATGGACGCTATTTTCATATGGTCGAACAAATGAGTGACTTTACTCCCTGTCGTCAGCTATCTAAAAGCGCCATTTTTGTGCATGTGGGATAAAAAATATTTTATTGAAAATTTGCATCAAGTTGGCTAAAAGCTTACAACAACCTTTCTCGGAAAACTTGCTATACTGTGTCCCACATAGCACAAGAGCTTACAGCAAGCTTGCGACAGGATTGTACAATCTTGACAAGATTGTAAAATGTCCGCATATCAATATTTCTATGAAAGGTTGTTGTTAGCTTACAGTAAAAGTTTTCTGCAAGCTTACTATGCAAGGCCAACTTATTACAAAATTTGCTGAAGAATTGCTAAAAATATGCTGCAAGTTTGCAGCAAGGTTGCTGCAATTTATCCACAATTTTTCTTAAATTAAAAAAATTTATTTTTAGTTTTTTTCTTTTTTTAATTTTAAAAAATCAATTATGACTTAGTTGTTATATTTTGGAACTTACTATTGATAAGAAATTTTTGTCAATAAATTCGATGGGAACTGAACCCAGGTTCGACGGATGCTAACCAAAGATCCTAAGCAAAAAGCTAAACAACCATCAGAGAAAAAAATCTTGTTCTTAACCTGAACAAATTTGCTGCGAGATTGTGAAGGTGGAATTGAAAATTTTTTGGGTAAAAGTGAATTTTTTTTTAAATTGAAAGTAAAAACTTTTTGCGTGAAAGTGATATTTTTTTGGTAAAAGAAAAAGTGAAAATTTTTTGTGTCAGTGACAGTGAAAATGTTTTGAGTAAAAATGAGAATTTTTTTGGTGAAAGTGAAGATTTTTCGAGTGAAAGTGAAAGTTATCTGAACGCACCCTACTATTTGTTAAATATTATGATAATAATATTATTATTAGATTCAGAACACCGACTATAAGACACGTAGCCTTTGACCAAGTACGTGACTGCTTCTCTGTGAGGTGAAGATCAGTTGTAGAGAGGTCAGGGTGACATCCGAAGTTACTCCATATATAGCTAATGTCAGAGTTTCATAGCATAGAGTCTACAAGTAATCAAATTTACAACAATTTTCACTATTATTTTCGTAAGCAATGCTTTAAAAATGCATAACTATGCCTTATATTTAGCAAATTGGTAGTTTCTTCTAATCACTATTTGTTGTATAACTAGAACTATATATATTTGTAATATATCTATATTATTTTTACTTAAAAAAATGTTCTTCACACAAATTTTACTCTTATATATCTCAGTTTTTTAAAAGATTATTTAAATATCACTCGCAATTTCTTTCTACTCTGTTATTTAATTTTCAAGTCAGCGTAAGGTAATACAATATGCTCTAGATCGAGGTGTTTGTAGAGTACTTATTTCAAAATTTAATTTAATACTTATTTCAGTATAATTTTCATAAAAGTATGTTTTAGTTTAAAAATGCATGTTACTTAAAATTACTTTAAAAGGTTACAGAGGGAAGCTTATCAGAGTGTATGGGATTAAGAGTTGGAGACATTGTTGTCAGATTGAACGATCAACCCATAAGTGATTTGTCGCATGGTCAAGCTCACGAAGCACTCAATTTGGCTGGAAACAATTTTGTACTTGCGATTCACAGGTAAGAATGTTATATATAAACCTAAAATACCGACAGATTAGCTCAGTCGGATAGGTGCCTTGCTTAACGGACGTTTTAGAACCAAGGGTACTTGGTTCGCGCCCATTTGGCTTGGTATTTTTCCAGCACGTGAGATAATCTTAATGGAGGTTTGACGTCGAGGTATAATGATGTGCACTGTCGATTATTGTCCGGTACACACCATTAGAACTCGACTGTCGATAAACCGGTTGTACTCAGGAGAGGTTTTCTACAGTTTCCCTCTCCACTGGCGAGAAAACCCTTTAGACGGGTGGTCCGCAGGCAAATGCGAGTACTCCTAATTTTCAAGTCGCTCTGTAGGCGCAAAATTTAGTATTTAAGTTTGTAAATTTGTAAGAGAAATTTACGAAAATGTAAAAACACTTGTATAGCCAAGTATGTAAGGCTGAAGACAGGTGTATAAACCAATAAATAAATATAAACCTAAAATTAAACTGAAGCTAACTTTTATTAAAAAATTATTTTTTTATGAAAATTATTAATATGAAAAATTGCAGAACTTACAGTTTCTGCTACTATGGTAGTTTTAGCGCCACGCCGAGATTGATTTTTCCCTATGGAAATTTTATAGATAATTAAAAAATAGACGAGGGTTTTTTGGGGTCGCTGGATTCAAATTTGATATCAGATTTTCAAAATTCAAAATAGCGAAATCAAAATGGCTGCAAAAAAAACTTTTAAAGTTGGCGGATTGAGCTGAAAATACTTTCGTTGCCAGATTCGGATGTAGCGCACCAAAAACTTCGGGAAATGACTTCTCGATCTCAGACAACGGAAATTTTTATTGTTTTACTGGCTTTTGTAATCGTAATAATTGTAATAACAAATTAATTTTAATAAACTGTAATTATAATAACAACAAATAATTACAATAATAACAATCAATTTCTAACAACAAATTATGAACAAATTGTAACAACAATTAAGAAATTCAACAAATTGTAATAATAACATGTGGTATTTTTATCAAAATATAAAATGTAAACAACACGTGTATTATAAAATAGAACAGGATCTCTATGCAATTAAATGAATTCAGAGAGACGATTCACACAGATGGTTTTAAAACAATGTTTTTCCAAAAGTCTAAGCATTTTTACCCACTTTTTGTATAAAAAAGACTAAACTGTCCACAAGAGAACAGTCTTAAAAATTCAACATTCAGAAACAGATGTCCATACTGCAGTGAAGAAAATTCTCTGATCAGAAGTAGTCGTCAAGTGTTATTTAATAAATATAGTTTAATAGTTCGGTCGTCACGTAATATTGTCAGTCAAATGTACAATCTTCCAGAAATAGCAACATCAATTAGGAAAGTCAGTTTCAAGGAAAATCAGCTTGTGAAGCTTAAAAACCCTAAACGTGTCACCAGTCTCCTGCATCTCAAAGGGCCCACCAGTAAACAATTAGGCTATTGTACGTATACGGTACGAAGACTTCAACAAACCTCCTTACGCTGCTTACAAAACTATTCAACCATAATCTCTGATATTAGAAAGTTTAAAGATCGTTTCTTAAACACCATAATACATATGTTCATTAATATTTAAATACACATATATATATATATATATATTTAGTGAAGACGACTCTTGCTCATTCACCAAATCCTGCCCCAATTTTAATTATTCTAATTGAAATTAAATAGGGAAACGATAGAGAAATAAATTGTTGGTTGGTTGTAACAATTCATTGAAATTTATAAAATACCCATTGGAAATAAAATGAAGATCACCGAGTAAATATTTTTAGCTTAATCAGAAAACTTTTTTTTTGCCGTTAGTTCGTTTCAGTCGTTTTTGATGAATTTTTAAAAACTTTCATCTTTTAAATTATTTATTGTTGAGCCCCAATTGATCCACCTCTCGATAAGTGTCTGATAAATTTATCGCATGTTATTTCTTACGGCAATCTAACAGTTAAAGTTAACTGAGAGTTGGATCAATTAGGGCTGAATATGGTAAAAATCAAGCTTCAGCTCCTTTTTTCGTCCCTTTAAACAACATGTCTGCCGAAACAAAAAAACAAGTATCAAATATTTTTCAATTATCTACTAAATTTCCATGGGTGAAAAGTCATAATCCCGACGTAACACTTGGGTAATGTTACTTGTGGGAGAAAAGAATAGTTGTGGTAACCATTTTTCCAATATTATTTTTAGTTAGTAAACTATGTTGCTGCTAACTTATTGGTTGGTGTTAGTATTTATATTAGTAAACTTACACCCTTATATTAGTTTATTCAAGTCCCTTTTTTGTTGCTTTACCTATTTAATTTGTTACGTTAGTAACTAAATAGCTGGTCGTTACTAACTAAATAGTAACGCAGTAACTATAATAAAATTTGGCAGTGACGTTATTGCTAGCCAAATAGTAGTCACAATTATTAATTTTTCTCAGTACACCTTCAATCATGTAATTAAATAACAGTAAAATAAATATTTCATCTTGAAACAACCAAAACAAATCGCGGAAACAGTCAACATAAAAAATATTAATTATACAACTAATTGTTAATTAATTACACAGGTCAACAAAAAAAGACTTACTTTTTTTATGAAAAACGCTTTTTTGACGATTTTCAAAAAAAAATTCTCTTTAACCTGACGTGTTAGAGACTTCCACAAGGTCTTAAATTAAAGCTTGTAATGTGAACTGCAAGACTCATATCCATAAAATACAAAAAAAAATTAAATTTTTTTTCAAAAAATGGGGTTGAAGACATCAAAAATGTGTGTTTTTTGATTGCTTTAATAGACTTCTTGTAATTGCTTGGATTCGCTTGAAAATGGTTACTCGGGGTTTTTTGGGTTGCTGATTACGAATCCGATATTAGTTTTCAAAAATTTAAAATGGCGGAACCAAAATGGCAGATGTAAAAATTAAGAATTGCTTGGACTCGCTTGAAAATTGTTACTCCAGGGTTTTTGGGGTCGCTGAACACGAATCCGCAATTTTGAAAACTAATATCGGATTCGTAATCAGCGACCTCAAAAACTCCAAGTAACCATTTTCAAGCGAATCCAAGCAATTGCAAGAAGTCTAACCCATTAATGGCCATGGGCACAGAAACGCAGATATCGAAAAAACAACAAGTGGGATCCTGGCATGGGGTCTAATAATAATTTTTGACGTTAAAAATTTTGTTTAAAAAAATTTTTTTAAACAATTTGTTATAAACAAATTAAGAAAAATTGATTTTCATAAAAAACTGATAGCGCCATTCGTTTCTACGCAAAAAACTACTACAAGAACATAGGTTGCAAATTTTTTTGAAAAGGACCTATTGTTATAAAAATGTTATAAACAATTAGCCTGCATATATACTCGTTCCAGCCCATGGGCATAGAAACGCAGATATCGAAAAAAAAAAAAAAATTGGGATCCTTGCATGGGGTCTAGTAATAATTTTTGACATTAAAAATTTTGTTTAAAAAATTTTTTTTAAACAATTTGTTATAAACAAATTAAGAAAAATTGATTTTCATAAAAAACTGATAGCGCCATTCGATTCTACGCGAAAAACTACTACGTGAACATAGGTTGCAAAATTTTTTAAAAAAGACCTATTGTTATAAAAATGTTATAAACAATTAGCCTGCATATAATCTAAAAAACTTGCTCACTTCGACAAAAAAAGGAAAAATTTTTTAATTTGTGAGCACTCACGCATTGTTTATATCATTTTACTCATAATTATTCAATAAATCAGAAAATATCAATGTAATTAATATTCATAAATAGCTTCAAAAGTTAGACGGAAAACAAACCTTCGGGTATGCTATATCACAGTTACAAACGACTTGACTTGTGAAATATTAAACAAGAAATAAAGAAAATTCAAATTATAATATTTTTTTTAATATTACAAATTTTATTAAGGGTAAGTCCAAGGTGTGAAATGTAAACAAACCAAACACAAAAATCGCATTTTTGTAACAGACGTTTCTCTTACAAAAATTAACATTTTTACACTTTCTCTACAAAAATGTGTAATAATTCAATCTACACTGATTTTTAAAAATATAATTTAATATAATAAAATATTCATATATCCTTAATAAAATTTATTTAAGATTTTATTTTTATTTTTAATATTTAAATATTGTTTGATTAAATGAAATAAAAATCTATTAATAATATAATAATTTATTTTTTCTTTTTTTTATAATCACTTAGCGAGTGTATATTATTAAAATTGTAAAATTTAATTTAGGTCAATTTAAATAACTCTAACTTTTTTTTAACAAAATTAAATCTCGAATAATCACACATCAATTAACTTATTTACATACAACACTCACCCACACACGCACATTAAAAGATACATTTATACAGATTTTATACTCCAAATTATTATTATAAATATTCTCAAATAAAAAAGGGATACAATATAATTTTTATATTATCACCAACTTACTGTGTGGTAATTTCGTTAATGTTGTTTTACAAGCAGCGTAGATTATTAGCGATGAAATCTCCTAGTATCGTCCACCGATATTCCCAGCAAGATATCGAATATCCACCTGCTTCTATTTACAACTCCGTGATATTTCTTATGATATTAGTGACAGCAACTCGGGGATTGGAAGTTGTCGTCCTTTTTAAGTATATACGAAAACCACGCTATAAATTGTAACGATAAAATTCTCAATTGTTCGTTACAATTTGAACAAAATATATTATTTTAAATTTTTTAATTTAAATGTATCGGGCTCACCTTTAAAACGTGGTTTCCCGTCACTTTTATTATATTATTTCCACCTTTGCACTTTTTATCAATTTTATAATATATTTAACAATTTTTATGTTTATTGGAGTAAGTCAAAATTAAGAATGATCCGTCGAATTTTCCTTCACTCAATTTTTCCCACTCTCACTCGTTTTCCATTTCTCCATACCCATTCTCACACTCACACAGTCAGACTCACTACAAATGAAAAATTAGTGTTTCAAAGT